AGGGTGCATCCACACATTATTAAAGGTCAAAGGGCTTTAAAGGAGTGCAATCATTTTGAAATTTTTATCATTTACTTATTATGCTTCATTAAGTACTTATACAAAATTTTATTAAAATAAAACCATTTAAACTGGGTGTTCGGATTTATATGTCACTTAGTATAGTTAACCATGCTTATCTCTATGAAGAATTTTCTCAAGAACGCAACACAGCACTTTGAGCATAGAACTGATGAAAATCCAAGCCTTTCCCCCGATTTTCTATGCTTATTTCAGACAGATCAATATCAAGATATGAGATTACTAGACAAATGTTGCCAGAAAAAAAGAAGGTATGACCTGTTCCACATTTCAAGACATACTACGTCTATTTTAATCGTACAGATCGATATGGAATCGTAGTGTACTTACTATATTCTGCTTAATTATTATAGAGAGTGTCCCCTAAACGTAGTTAAAAATACAATAGGTGATTCTTTGGATTATTACAAAATTATCTTGTTCTTTCACGCTTTCCGAAAATATCATTCTCTTAGCAGTAGAAATCAAAAGCGTAGCTTTTCAATCTACTATTGGAATAACAGCTGGAATACTGAGCTCCTATCTTCTCGCCACAGACTACCAATTTCTTCAAAATACTAATGTCTGTGACAATCAGCAACTGCAATTTATTTGCTTCTAAATTTTAAACAGCACATAGACGTAAATCGTAGGATAGGAAGAGGGGACGTGATTTGTGGTCTACTCGATCCCCAGACCTAAGCCGCCCAGGCCATCCTATAAGTGTATTTTATGGCGTTAGTTTACACAACTGTGGTGCAAAACTTTCTATATCTCAGTAATCAGATAATCGCTCAGCTCAGGAAGAAATGACCGTGGTATTTTGAAGAACTGCAGCAGTTTATAAACTATGCATTCTATCAGAAGATTGTCATTTCGGACAGTTTTCCAAAATTCAAAAACCGTCAAAGTACAGTCATAAGAATTACCCCATGAAGTTTAGCTTCATGCTTCGAGATTGTGATATGTTTTTTGGATCTCATACGGCATTTACATCACAAAAATGATGTAACTCATTTTTGTCCGCTAGTCCTGGACTCCTTTATAGCATGTAAAGTACTGCTCGGATTTGGTTGAAATTTTAAACAAGATGACTGCTATGCCACCGATGAAAAAGCTGTATAGCTTTTGAAAATTGGGCCAGAAGCAGCGGAGAAGAATTCCAACAACGGAAAACATAAAAATCACACAAACTCCATCTTTCACATTTTAGAAAATGCTGGTCATTTTTGAAAAAATGTTTAGGGTTGCAAAGGACTGGGGGAGGATGTATCGCAATTTGTTGAAGTTAGTATATTAATGCACTTCCAACCACGGTAATTCTATGCTCCAATTTGACATAACTCACGCATCATAGATTTCCCCCTACATGTACGTATACACACATACATATTATAACAGAAAAATATTTTCAGCCATCGCGGATCGCGTGCCCATGGATCGCACTAGCCATGCGCCACAGGGCATCTTTGGTAATGGATATGAGGGCCTTATAAAAGCAGGTAGCAGTCAGCACGATGATGCGAAATGGACATGGGAGGTGGGCGCAATATTATATGGTGTAATTTAATGAGGTCAATTGATTTCGTGAGGTATCAAACATTATTGACAAACAAATTTATACCAGAGCCCCAAAGGAATTAATATGCCGGGTAGCAACATGCTCAATGCTGCAATCTGAGATGTTTTTTTCATGAAGAGCCCAAACAGTGCACTGAAAAATTGTACTAGTACACTAGACTTGGAAATATGATATTAGCATTGATTGACGTATTCTACCTAAAGATAGCCAACCATATACTGTAGTATGGTGCCCAAAAAGGGGTTTGAAAGACCCTGCCGCCATTTATGATACAGTGGCACAACACAAAAATGAAGTTAGAAATCTGCTTAAAAATAGTTATGATATTTAGATCTGATACTGTCCCGTAGATGTGCGCTAGGAATTGCAATCCCATTTCAGCGCATCTCTAATGATTATTTTAATTGGGTTGCTTCATGTGTAATACGTTAATCAATGGTATTAGCTAATCGAGTTTATTGATTGTACTCATTAGGAATTAATATGTTCATATAAATATAAATAAAGTATTGGCGATAACTGCCTGTAATAATTGCACAATAATCAATTTATACGAATGGTATTAGAGAATTAACATATTTTCATGAAACCAATCTAAAGTTCGGCTTACCTGACCGGTAGGATGCCAACCGCTATGAATTTTTCGGAGGTCAACGTTATTGGGCTATTAAAGTATAACTAATCGAAACACCTCCCGCATTAAGCATATAATCATCGATTTTTTTATTGGAACTAATAGGTTGTATCTCATGCTGAAGCTGCGGTACGTTACAGACTTAGAAATTCTATTTTTAACTGCAACGGTAATGTAACTGTTTCTTCTTTCATTCTATAGCTATTTTTGTAAGTCTTATTTTTTAATACAAGCTCCGTTAGTAGAACCAATATTAATTTTATACAAATTACTGTGTTATTGTACGAACGTAAGCTATTCGATAATTGGGTAATGTGTTTTTTCATAATTCAAAAGGTACATACAATAAGAAATGATAGATCTAGTGTGTGGAGACTGTGAGAAAGAACAGGATACTTCAACACAGGACAATCCTTAAAATAGATATTTTGCCTCACACTGTGAACAAAATCAATACATATTTGACGACAACGAGATTGCCTTTAAGGGCGACAGAAGGGACAGTTGAATGGAAAAAATGTCCTCAAGTAGAATGACTCTATTTCCATGCAATTATGTCATCAATTCCAGTTACACTACACGTATATATTGCGCTACTGACTTATAAGTTACGTCCACCCCCTAGACATAATGTGCCAATGATTTGAATAATTCACACATTTTAATCGGTTTCCTTCTTGTATTTATTTAACAGAGCTCACATTCTACTATCTTCTTATTTATATTAACAACAGAAAAACTAGAGTGAACATTTTGGAGGATGACACATTGACCCGAATAGTAATACTCGGATAAGTAGAAACCATTGGCCGATGCATAATGATGTTCTGGTTAGTCTCAACCCTCCCCTCGCGCTCTTCAATTTTTATTCGAAGAAATATTGGATTGCGATAAAATTAATCCCTTTTCAGAAAAACAGTCTTGTGCCTATACTACTCCTATACGATTTACACCGCAGGCAATCTCTAAAAAAATGGCGTCGAGTAGGTTGACTCTGCACTTCCCACGAAACGTGCCTCCCAGCCCCCTAAACACCCCCACCACAAGTCTTTTTACCTCTCAAGTGTCTTTCAAAAATTATCAGGATCCTATGATACGTCAAAAAACGAAGTATAAGCGATTTTTTTTTTCGTTTTAGGCCACTAGACGATTTTCAAAAACTACGAAGCTTGAAAAAATTTTCAAGTCATCGAAATCCGAACAGCACTTCTCAAGTTATAGGCAGTTATAAGATTAGCGGACAGACCGACAGACAGACAGTCCGAGAATAATTAGTGGCATGGTTTTTCGTGATGTACATGTCATACCAGATACAAGAAACAAATATCTCATTTTCGATACTTTTCGCGGTTACAATACTTCCCCGCCAGTAGGCGTGGGAAGTAAAAAGTGGAAAAACGTCTGAAGCCTAATGAGATTGGTATAAATTGAGTCACTGATTGCGAATTGTTCAAAACAATATATTTTCAAAATGATTCAATTTTTACCATAATCACTAAAATACTACAGAAACTACAAGTTTTTTTTTCAAAAACTGATCACTTTACCGAAATCAAAACGGAACACATTATTTTTGATAAAGAATCAGGCTTCCCAAAAATTTCAATTTTGAGCCATTAATATACAGGGTGTGAGAAAATTGACAATATTTCATTAGAGCTTGTCCATCCCTAGCCCTCTAAATGTGTTAAATACTTCCTGCGAATAACATCATATAAGGTCTTGACTAGTTATTATGTAAAAATATCGTTATATTATACAGTGTAGTTAAGAAGTAATTCAAGCGTTCGAATAGTACAAAGAATCGCCCCTTGAATTTCGGCCCCATATTTTGGAAACACCCTGCATAATAATATCTGGCTGAATAGGATCTTTTCTGTTTTCCGTCTCTGCGACCATCACCAACCGTATACAACGCAGTTTCATGCTTTTCAACAAGCATCAGTCATTTGAAGACAGATAACGGAAAGCTATCAAGCGAATATGGGTCTGATATCATGGTGAGCCCTTAGTACACCTCTGGATGACTATGTGTTGTATATAAGGTGAACGACCTTGATTGGCTATTTTAAGAAAGAACCGTTTTGTACTGCAGTCAGACTAACTTTATTTATGAGCGTGAGTCTTAATTTAAACTGAAATAGTTTTTCATTTTTCAACAGTCTCCATAAACATTCAAACATTTGTCAAATCAAGGTGCCAGATTTTGGATCCCGTCGTCAGAGAACGGTGCCGCCTCACAGATAAACCAAGAAATTCCTTAAGTCTTGGGAAAAGGTGAAAGTCTAATGATGCCAAGTCAGGGCTGTATGGTGGATGATCCTGTAATTTCCAATGAAACTTGTTATAGTGCCGTCAATATCTTCGCAAGTATTCTGATTCGGATTTTCTGCATAATCTTATTCAAAAATGACCTTTTCAACAAATCTGCATATTGCCAGGTCCAATTTTTTTTAAATAATTTATTTTAACAAATTTGAAAAATTGGTTTTTCCGCTCTGGTCAAAGTACGTTTAGGTAAACATTCTGAAAAAAATGTCGTTTAGAGCTTTTCCCTAAAGTTGATAAGAGTTTTCGAGTTATGATATACAGGGTGTTAATAAACTATGTAGACAAACTTCAACCATCGAGTCATTGGTCAATTTGAAGACGAAATTTCCATATGAACATGGGTCCGCAACGGCTTTGTTTTCAAGCTAGAGCATATTAGCACTGAAAGAAATGATGGTGTTCTAAAGAATTATAAAAGAATGGAAAGTATTTTATTTTAATTAAGTATGCCCTGTGGTGAATATAATAATTGAAGATAGACATGTGACATGTTGCGAGATTGAGGCGCCCTTGAAGATCTCAAAGACCTCAATTCAAAAAATTTTACATCAAGAATTAGGAGTAAGAAAAAAAGTTTCTCGTTGGATACCCCACCTGTTGACTGAAAAGCAGAAAACAGCCAGGGTTAATTGGTGTCAAAAACGCTTGACCGTTTCAATTCCGGAATCTCAAAAACTGTGTACAGCATTATTAGTGGTGATGAATCGTTGATTTCCTGTTATGAACCAGAAAATAAACGACAGTTGGCTGCTTGGGTGTTCCAAGGTGAAGAAAAGCCAACAAAAGTCATCCGTTCTCGAAGTGTTCCGAAAAAGATGGTCGCGATATTTGTGTCAAAAGCAGGTCATATTGCAACAATTCCTCTTAATGAGCAAAGAATTGTTACTGCGGATTGGTATACCACCATTTGTTTGCCAAAAGTCATCACCGAGCTTCGAAAAATCAACCCCGAAAGAAGAATCATCCTCCACCAAGACTATGCAAGCTCGCACACAGCCCAAAAAACAAGGCAGTATTTAACGGAAGAAAACCTGGAATTAATGGACCAACTTCCATATAGTCCCGATCTAAGTTGTAACGATTTCTTTACTTTCCCGAAAATTAAAAACAGACTGCGTGGTCAAAGGTTCCAGTCACCAGAAGAAGCAGTTGACGCATTCAAAAATGTCGTTTTGGATCTGCCAGCAAACGAGTGGAATAAGTGCTTCGAAAATTGGTTCGAGCGCGTGCAGATGTGTATTAGTCTTCGAAAAGTTATTTAAAACTACCTACCATGTTGTTTTATTTTCATATGTAAAACTTAAAAGACATCCCTCGTACCCGTATTTCTTTAGTGATAGTGCTCTAGCTCGAAATAGAAAACCGTTACTGACCAATGTTCATATGAACATTTATTTAGTCTTTAAATTGACCAAGGATTCGATGGTTAAAGTTTGTCTACATACTTTGTTAACACCCTGTATATACGTATACTTCGATCCCGGAAAACAATATGAAAAAAACAAACCTTAAATGTTGACAATGTTCTGAAATAATGTTGAAACATCCATTAACTGAATTCCAAGGCATTTCAGGACGTATTGCTCTCCGCCACGGCTGGCAGCATCTGTCTTGTACTCACGCGTGCTTAGTTAACAATTAAAAAGCACATTACAATAACGATACCTGCTCATATGCTTCGAGGTTTTGTCAATGGATGTTTGAAGAATATTGAGGAACATTGACAATATTGAAATTTTCATTTTTTTATATTGTTTTTCGGAGTCGCAAATTACTTATTCCGCGCTTTTCCGAATCTGAATATTGATATCAGCTGCAAAGATATTTCCCGGTATATCCAGTTGCGTCTGCCTTTTTGCCGCAACGTGAGGCCGAGCGTTGTCGTGAAGCAGAATGACGCCGCTACAGGAGGCTTTATCGGTGATTTAGAATAGCAGAATAGCGTGCAAGCTGCTGGTGAATTTCAAAAACTGGAACTTTTTTTGGATTCAAAAATCGGATTTCGGCGGACTTACTGATTGACATGGCGACAAAGAAAGGAGTATAACCAATGGCGACAGAGACATGAAAGGTAATGGCGACGTAGTGAGAGACTGGCCAAGAGTGTCTGAGGTTGATCGGACGTCACGTGACGGGATGCGTGACGGGATGCGCAACGGTCTACTTACTTTGAAATGGCCCCCGTATCTACAATCTGTGTCTCACCCCGTTCGTTTTCCACCAGACGAATCGTTGAATGCACTCTCACTATCTGTTGCCGTTCTTGACCCATATTGTCTTCAGCTCAGTGCAGTCGCGCCGTCAGTTCAAAGTCATTTGAATCACCGGAATCGCGGGAAAATGATATGCTATTATCCCTAATCGGGAAGACGGCACGAAAAAGCCGAATCGCCGGTTCTGAACGTATTGTTCCATGCAACGGCAGAACCATATATGGCGAACATCTCACTTTCTGTAAGGAAGTGGCTGAGACTAAACGGCCTTGCCGTGACGGTCACGGTGTCATTATGGTTCTGTATGCACTTTGGATGCTGCTACAAAGCCAGTCGATTTGTTTCTTGAATTACTGTATGTGTTTCTGGTTCGATATACCAGGTGTTAGGAGCGAGGGGCCTTCAGTAAGCCAGCGCAAGGAATTGAAGGGCCAAATCGTTCTTTTCAGTGATCTGCAAAGTTATTACGTAAATAAATAATAGTTTTAAAAAACTAAAAGAAAAACGCTTTTATAGCTAACCCAACTAAAAGGTCGAAAATAATTTTTAATTACAAAGAGTTTATATTACAGTAATAGATGGTCGAACAATCAATGATAATTAAGGACCTCAAAATGAAAGTATAATAAAATTCAAGTTGTGTTAACAGAATGATACAATTCAGAGTAAAATGCGTGGGGTGCTTGATATATTAAGGGCCAATTTCACCAACAACAGTCCGTTTTTCTCCACCTATAGGGTAACAGCGAATGAGCTTCAACTTCCAATCAACAAATTTTAGCAAAAAAAAACCAAGAAATGTTAAAAACAAAATACTGTCAAAGTATGAGATGACATCTTGTCATTGAAACATCATCAGCTTATTGAATATTAAGAAATTACATACAATTCAGTCAAAATTTAAACAAATGTTTGATTTTTTAATAAAATTCATGATTTAATTACTATTGTTGATTTTTTATTCATGTCTATATTATTTTCTTCAATTGATATGCGATTTTACTGATTCAAGATCATTCACTGGGTGTTTTTTCCTATAAACCTCTTGCAGATAGCCATTAAGCACCTACTTGATGACTGGCTCTACCAAAAAGTTCATAGATATTGCTCGTTTCCAAACATTCATTCATTTACTAGCCGTTCATCAGAACCATTATGGCACCTTAGATTTATATTCCCACAAAACTATTCTGGTTTTTTAATATCCATACATCCATAAAGTTGAATATTTTTCGTTGTTCAGGAACTTAACAAACATCCACACTATATTCACAGCGATTTATAAATACCCAAATATATGTCGTAGAGCTACCAGCAAACCGAAAACCTGCAGAAAAACTAGGAATTTGCAATATTTTTCTTTTTTCACTGAGTACATATTCTGGGTTATATTTATATTAAACGTTATTTGAATCACAAAACATATACACTGATTTGAATAACAGCTGATTATCTCCTGATATTTTAAAACTAACCATATCGACAAGTGACACATAATTCTGTGGGATCCGCCAACACTTCGTCCCAGTCCCAGTGGAGCAAACTCTGCCAACTGTTGAAATAATCTTTATTAATTCCAAGTCTTATTTTTGTTTTACTGGCCAGGAATTATTAGCGCCTGGCTATTTTAGGCCTTCAATAACTCCTTATTTTAGATCTCTCCTTATTTTGTTTTTTCCACGCATTCATGGTAGAAAGAAAAATATGTTATCGAATATCGATACCGTATACCGTGCAGCAGGCACGCCATCACTATTTTGACAGATTGCAGAATGATGTCAAGGTGACAATCGTGATGTGTTTTTGTTTTTATCTGAAATAGGCAAGTAGGCTTTGTGTATTCATTTTTATTTTTATAGCGTTTCCAGAATTTCATATTTCGAAACAATGTCAAGGGCCGGCAGGGGAAAATCTTTCTCTATCGTCGCCATCCCTATATTGTATCCCCACCAGTCACCAGTCAAAAACCTTAACCACCAATATTTTATCACTATTTATAATTCTTTTTAGCTCTTATTTTTCAGTAATTACTAATAATGTTAGGTCTATGTCTGCAGTAATTGCATTATGCACCTCGGAGATGTAGGGATTAACATGTTTTACACATATCGGTGTTTTAGGATGGGGACGACCATACTGTTTTGATTGCTTTGAAGAAAATCATTAACCCATGAATTTATAACAAATGATTACTATTATGATGTAAAGAGAGATGAGGAATTGCTTGGAATACATTTTATATTCTATTTTCTTGCAAATCCGCACAATTCAACAGGTATTTGTAGCTATAATGATCACATAATATACACACAGTATATTGAACTTAACAAATTACGAGATTGCCATGAATTAACAAACGACCAAACCTGCTGCCAAATTTAACAGCTAGAAAATCGACCTATTATTTCTCCCATTCCCATTCGCTGACGGGATAACGGATGGTCAAATGTACACCTATAACATAAATCAAAATACATGAAAGTTGTCCTGTTTTCTCTGTACAAAAGCATCATGTTGGAATCAAAAAGTGGTCTTGTTTATAATACAGTCGAATTTTCACGATTTTATTCAACATTTTAATAGAAATTGCATTTCGATAAGGTATTTTCCTATTGGTCCATAATATTAATGTTGGTGAAATCGGCCCTAAATGTTACAATTATTCTATTGGCAACTATCTATGAGATGAGAGTTATGAAAATGTAGTAAAATGCACGCTTCTTACTCTGGATTGAATTATTCTCTTAATAACCTGAAGGTACTATAAACTAAACTAGGGGATTGCGTGAACACTCTGAAAGAGCTCGGAAACCGAAACAAGGTAACATCGCTCTGTGTACGAGGACGTGAGGGGTACGAAGAAAATGAAAGGGCAGATGAGCTAGCCCGACAGGATGTGGCCAATCGCGTTATACAGGGTGTAAACGTTATGATAGTCATTATTTAAATGGGCGATAGAAAGGGTTAAAAGAAGCAAAAAGTTTCATAGAGCATGGGGGTCAAAACGACATTTTGGTAGAGAAAAGCGACTTTAAAGTAAAATAAAATCTGACAACGCCGCAATGCCAGACGCAAATTACGTCGGAACGCAGTGTAAATAAAGATGGAGTTTATATTTTTTGGCTCTTAGGTATTATTTCATTATTTGATAATGTACACGTAAAATGCAAACAATTAAAAAAACGAATTTACCACTAACTGTCTCAGCGCTTCACCTGGTGTGTGATAGTTATTGAACGTATTAAAAAAATCCACTTATAAATAGAGAACACAATTTTGATACATACTTTGTTTTTCTTTTTAAAACCCACACTGGACTTTTTTTGTATTGAAAGAAGGTGTTCAAAATGTTGTCCTCCACTTTCCACACAAGCTTCATTACGACGAACCCAGTTTCTTCTTACTCTAGGTCCTCAAAGTTGTCCATTTATTATTTAAGTCGCATTAAACATTTTTTCGCGAAGTTGTGCTTCAGTTGTTGTTGGACCAGCCCCATAAACCATCCCTTTAAGTTCTCCCCAATAACAGAAATCCATCGGATTCAGGTCAGGAGATCTTGCTGGTCATTTTCGAGGATCAGGAGCATTTCGACCGATCCAGCTATTTGGATAATGTTCATTCAAATACTGAATGACGCCTCTAAAAATGTGTGTTGGTGCCCCGTCATGAAGAAACCACTAATTCTGTCTCCGTTGTAATGGCATATTGTCTAAGGTCTGTTCAAAAAGTTCTGGTATGTTATTGGCTAGAAAACTGAGGTATCCTTCTCCTGACAACTTTGGGGGTAACTCGAAGGGGCCAATTACCTGATCATCAATATTTATGTTAAAACGTTGTCGGAAATGACCGTCACGAATAGTATGAGGATTTCATTGGACACACGTGTGGGTATTATGGAAATTTATTATCCCGTCTCGCGTAAAAGTACATTCGTCGAATGTTTTTAATAAATCTGGATTTTCAATGTTTTTGTGCAAAAACCACTGACAGAAGGTTAGTCTGCGAGGATAGCC